AAATTTCCGTTCATCTTAATCTCGTTTCCTGCTTCTTTCCCCTTCTTCAGAGCTTTGGCGAGCATAAGTTCACGCATCCAATTGATTCGCTCATCCCGAGTCTTGACGGCGAAATGGTGGTTTTTGCCATTAGCAGTGAAGATTGACTTGCGCTCGGTGGGTTTTGTTGCGGGGATCAAGGAGAAAGCAAAGGCGGTTTCGTCCATGCCCTTGTATGAGTTGTTGTTGAGGTTTGCGGCCTTGCGGAGAACTGAGCGCTTGAAGGCTGCAGTGAGCTTGGAGTTGGATGCAAGAGAGGAGCAGGCAACGGCATAGTCATCCACATCAATGGATTCGAGGGCTCTGCTGTGGCGGTGGGTATCAAACTCGTCCTTGTGCATGGCAAGAATGGTTCCTTTGAGGGTGAAGTGCGCATCTTGCCATTCATGCCGAAGGAGGCGAGTAGTTCGGCGTTTCTTCATCCACCCGCTGTGGGTGACATCTGGATCCTTTTGTGCTGAGGAGGATGAGGAAGATCCTGTGAAACCAGGTTGTTGGGTGACGGGTGGTTGAGGTTTGGTAGCAGCGTCCATGTCCGATGGGTTCTCAATTGGAGAGAGGCTTTCGATCTCATGCAAAGGGGTCATGGTATTGACGGATGGGTGTCGGCGATGGCGTTCAGGCCTGGTTGATCTCGAGCGGACGGGGGGCTCGGGAGTCTGGTGCTGTCGTGTTGGGATATTTCCGTATCTCATACCTGGAGGAACGGACTGAGATGCTTCTCTGGCCAAAGGCTCAACGGGTACGGCGGTGATTGGAACATCCATCTCTGAAAATGGAGTTCCATGACGAAATGTGTTGTTACCATCAAAGGCGTATGGGTTGTATTCCTGGGTTGCAGTAGGTGAATTCACAACTCGAGCGCCCATGGAAGGGGTGACAGTGCGCAGAGCAGACGCAGGATCGCTGACAGACAGAGTTTGATTTGGAATAGTAAGTTTTGGTAGAGATCGGAGCTGGTTGGATACATGGACGGGTTGTTCCTGAGAAGGCAGAGGCGGAAACATTTCCAGGGGCTGATTTGTCAAAGCCGAATTAAGGTCAGGGCTATGCATATGCTGGAAGGTGAGAAACTGCCGGACATTCTCCTGCGGATCTCGTGGTCGAACTCCGTTCAGATTCTCAGCATTGAGTTGTAGCTCGGGATGTAGATCTGGGAGCAGGCCTGGACCGAGCACATCGGAGGAAGCAACGAGAGAGGGAGCGGCGTCTGATTTTCGGCTTATCTGGGTCATGGCAGGAGTTGGGGGCACAACTTGGTTTGTGGTTGCCACAAGCTCACCGTCTATGAGGGCAAACTCGTTAGGAAACTGTTTTGCAATCCGGGCGAGCTTCCGCTGTCTCTTTTGGTACTTAGAACAGTTCTCTCCCTTGGAACACTTGTGGGGCTTAGGGAGAAGCTGCTCTATAGCAACAATGGAAACGGATTCGGCGGGTGATATTATGTCTTCCTCTGAAATGACACGGTTGCGGCGGCCGCGTCTCTTGGGGGCGGGCGGGTCATGCCTAGCACCGCCATCAGGAGAAGCAGATGTCGTGCACTCGGGGGAGTCGACCTTTCCTAGCGGGGGGGTGTTTGACATTGAAGAGTTAACCCGTGCAAGTTCCGGTATGGAGTTAGGGTCAGTAGCGTTTCTTAAGGTCTGGATCATGTTCATAAGGTAGTGGCGCTTGCCAAAGGATTGAATATCTAATTCCTTAAGGTCATCAATGTGTAGGTCGAGAAGGACGGCGCCGGAGATGTCATTTTGAATGAAGCGTTCGACCAAGCTGTCCTCTACACCAACCT